TCCCATTTTCATCCCACTCCCTCTTATAACAGTTTTAATTTATTAAGATTTCATTCATCAAGACGGTAGGAAAACCTATAGTTATATGCCTCAGCAAAAAGATGCGATTTTAAATGCTTTTTAAACAAAGCGAAGGAACTCCAGTCTAGTATATCTGGCAGTGCCATACCAGACAAGAGGATCACAATACGAAAATTTACGATGTCCATAGAATTTGTAATTCACTAGATATCTAGATCTAGTTGTTTGAATAAAATTACTTTGTTTTCTCCGAAGAAGACTAAAGGCTTCCTCCTGGTACATGCTCAGTGTGGTCTATTTCTGTCTCATACAATTACTTGTTCATAACCTCAAAATGTTTAATATGTTATTCCTCATTTCTTTATCTAAAAAAACAAACAGCACACAGGCGAACAAACAAGCGAAAAGAATAAACAAACGTACTAACAAACAAACAAACTAAGACATCTATCTAGGCTCCGACCATAACATACTTCCCTTAATCACCTGTATAAGAAAGGATTTTATAAAAGTATCAGTTGCACTGTGTTAAATGTTTAATTCAAATAGTAACCATAGACAGTTTTTATACAGGACATTAAAACAGGGCGAAAAGGAAGGGGGGAGAGACAGAGACAGAGACAGAGACAGAGAGAGAGAGAGGGGGGGGGGGGGGGGGGGGCGTAACACACCTGCAATTTTAAACAAATGTCTATAGGTTTTATTGCAGATTATATGAACCCTAAATGTGTTGTTTTATTTTTCTGTACATGCATGGATGGAAAAACCATACGAAACGTTTGGGCTTTTTTAAAGATAAAAACCTGCCTGAATTCCTTGTTGTAGGGCTGGATTCTGCTCGGTTAATCGAAGGCTTGCAAAGCAGCGGACGTCTTGCGCTAGAGTCTTGCGAGCAGGCTTGTGGTTTGATTTGCCTCCCGCTTGCTACCGGAGGGAACTTCCGGTGAGTTGTGACTCGCGGACAGTCCTACTGTACTGTGTCGTGACGTCGCGAACTCGCGTGGCAGTGGGCTCAGTACATATTACAGAAGAT